AGAGTACTCAAAAGGGACATTATACCATATAGTCATTTCCAAAGAAAATACAACAAAATACAACACCAGAGCCATCATTACTATTTATAACAAATTTACAATGACGGAGCCACTGCTACTCCCTAAACACATAAGTAAGTCTACTAGTAATTATCAATTTAGACAACCTAATGAGTTTCTGAAGGTCTATCATCCTCGTTTCCTGAAAATATTAGTAAAGATGAATTCCTTTCTCATTATTAAAAATATTTGCAGTTTTCAATATCACAATACCAATCAAACAATAATTATATCAACAAATCAAAGCAAACATACTTAAGTCACCTAATTAATAAGTTTGTCTCCCAAATAAGCATTTTCTTGTGTACTGTGATCACAATTATTAGTTGCCTCTAGCATTTCATGAGGTCTTACATAGATAGGTGAATAGTCACCAGTTAGTCCTTGTACACATATACAACATACATAATAGAGGGTCCCTTAGCAAAAGTATAGGCAGAGGTTCTAGTCAAGAAATAAGTGTGAGGTCATGTGATGCATTCGCTCTCAGATATATTGTGTACATTTATGCGAATATCATTCACTACCCTACATTTCTTCTAGTGTATCTCTGTAACTATCACACTAATTCCTTCGTCACTTTTTATCCATAGTATTCCTTCTTTCATCACATTCTCATCACGATACAATTTCAACATTTTTAATCATACTCAACTTCCAAACCAAGGTACATAATCACATTAACATGCCATTCATATATAATCAATTCATCAATCAATTTGCCAGAGGTCGGACACCTCTAAACTCAGCGCAAATCGTATATTACAATAATTATATTTCATATCATACAGAGAATAATCAAGTATATATCAACTCAATCACTCATGGTTAAAGAGGCATGCATTATTAACTTTTCTCAACACTTAAAAATCTCATTCAACATCATTAGTAGTAGAGAAATCACTAAATTGAACATTTTTTTTTGTCTATTTCGCATAAATTTTTTGCATAATTCATTTTTATTTCTACATAATTTTGCAGTGTCATTTAAATTTTATTTTACTTTCTTTTTGTATGCAAGGAAAAATAAAGAATAAAATTGCTTTGTTGTTTGAACCTGACATAGACAAGACTTTAAGAAGATTAAGAAGTGAAGCTAAGGCTGAGAATTCATAGAGAAGAGAGCAAGAAACTACACCAACTCCAAAAAAGTTGATTGAATATCAAACACCTCTACCACAGGACAACTCTATGGCTAAGAACAATAGGTTGAGAACCTTGGGAGACTATGTTATTCGAAACATGTAAGGCTATAATTCAAGTATCACTACGTCAGAAGTTGGCTTTTGGAGCGTCAACTTAGATAACGGTTAGTAAAAACCGCTATCTATAAAACACTAAGAGAGCAGTTCTGCCCTAACCGCTCTCCAAATTTAACTTCTTAGAGCGGTTCCATAGCAATTGCTCTCTAATATGTACTTCTGAGAGTGATTCATTTGGAACCGCTCTCATAGTTGTATTTTGGAGAGCGATTGTTAAATAACTGCTCTTAGAAGTGCTACATTTTAGAAAGCGGTTCGCACATGGGACCGCTCTTACAACTTTACAAAGCGATTGACACAGAGAACCGCTTTGGAAGGTGTAGATTAGAGAACGGTTATTTCTTAACCGCTCTTAGATGTTATATTTTTAAATTAAACCCTAAGCCCTAATCTGGTTATCCATGTCCCTGTGCCAAGTCTATACTTCAAATTTGTCTGTGTTCAGTGTTTACTAAGAAATTTTTGCAGAAGAACAAGCATCGTTGACATCACATTCTCAATTTTAAGGTATATTCATAATCGTTTCTTTATTTTCTGACTATGTTTGAACATTCGCACTCTCTTATTCTCTTGTTCACTGAAATGCACTTGTATTATTGACGTTTAGGGTTTAAAATGTCCCTTATCCATACTTGGCTTCAAGTAAACTATGACAAATTAGTGGCACTTCTTTCATTCCATGTTAGCGCATTTGACCAATGTAGTGACACAGTTGATAGGGGATTAGGGACTGCCCCATTCATGTCAGGTCAGATGTCATTCAACCTTACTGTCTTCCCACCACCATGTATGTCACCCCCTTTCAATATTACTTCTCAAATGTAACCCATGACAGATATTAGTCCCAAAACGCCTGGAGATGCACCTTCTACCAGCCATAGAGGCAGCTGCATACCAATTGCATCTGTTGAGATTCCAGGGGTATTTAAGCTCCACTAAATCATTATTTACAACCCAATGTTTACTGCTTTTGATTTAATTAGAAAAGAATATAACAAACTTATTTTTGTAGGGTGATCATGACTGTTTGCTATACTTGAACACCCCTTTTCGCCTGGTTGCAAGAGGGAGAGTATATCATATAGTGGTTGAGGCCTCCTTACATAATATGGTTCTTCCTCCATAGCATGGTAAGGTTTCACTAGAGGTAGTACAACAACATGAGGAAGACTATGCATTGTCTGTCCCAAATGAACCAACAAACCTAATTTGCCTGAGAGATGCCATTGTTACTTATGTTGCTTGGCCAATGTCCCTAATCACTTTAAGACCCAAGGTATGTATGCAAGCTTCTTTATAATTTGGAAGACTAGATGTTACAATTAATACATTTGTATGTATTTCATATTACCCCTTCATCAAGTAAAGGTTTAGGAAAAGAAACAGGCTACTCAAAACAGTCCATTACTAGTCCATCCAATAAAGGTAGCAGTGCTTGTGTATCATCAGAGATTCTTTAGTTAGCAAAAGCCCAAGGTGCTGCATGCTTCAATATTATGAAGCTTTTTATGAGAAGTAATCAAGCCATTGATACAGTTATAATTCATCTGATAACTAAGCATTGGGGTAAAGAGTTTTATGACATTGTGGGGAAGGAAAACATTTTAGAGGTCATACGTTGACATTGGTTGATTGCCTCTAACATTAACCTTTACATACAGTAAATTACTTTACAAATTATGTAATTCTTTAGCATTTTATAACTTTTTGTACTAAGTCATTGTATAATGCATTTCAATTCTACTTTTGCAATACAAGATATTTGTGTGAAGCTTACTTGCATGGGACAACAATGGCAACTAGATTCTCATTTATATCTCTGTATGAAATGGACGAAAAGTTCAATCTAAACCCACATCAACATATAACTGAAATGTTGAAGTGTCATATGGGTGAATATCACTTGATTTTTGCACCTTATAATGTTGGGTAAGTCAATTTGATTGGGACTCTTGTTTCGTGTTTTCAGATTTAGCATATAACTTATTTCTTGTAATCTTAAACATATATTTATACTCTTGGTAGGCAACATTGGGTCTTGCTTGCTATCAATACCTCTAACGAGACTATGTATTATATGGATCCTCTGCATAAGCAGCTGAAGATCAGAACACATATGCAGAACCTATTTAATAAGTAAGCATTCATTTATGTTAAACAACTATGATTAATGTTAAGTGGTTCAAATGTATCTAAGTTCTTTCATGCACCATTGTTAGTGCTCTTGTCACATTGAGCAGATAGGGAAGTGCAATCCTCTAGGACAAAGATGCATTAAACAAGATGAGTCACTGTATAGGTAATACTATATCATACAACATGTTTTTAATTTTTAGGTAAATATTAATTACACTGTATATCTCTCTTAGTTAATGCTGGTTATTTGTTTTTATCTTCCACACAGTATCCAAAGCAAACAAATAATGATGACTGTAGATATTATGTGTGTCTATTCATTGGAGATGCTTTGCACCATGGATAAATTGTAATCCCAATTAATGTAAGACCCTTACATATGCTAACTATCTGCCATATGCTTATTATTTAACTTAATTAATTAAACTTTGTGTTTTATTGTTTTGTATTCAATATTTTCCAGAGGTGCAGCTGCAAACTTTTCCTGACAACAGAATCATCAAGTGCAAAAAGAGTGGTGTACATATCTGTACCATAGATATTTAAAGGAGACATTAAACACAATAGATTTATAATATTTTTTAACAATACTTAGACAATTTTCTTTCAAGGCATTAGGCAAAAAGTGTAAATATGAGATTATTTTCCTCCTGTTAATGTAAACTTTTATTGTAATCTGTACATGTAAATTGTAATTGAATAATGTAATGTGCAATTGCTTTCAAATTCTGGTATATCAAGCTTTATTTGTAATTTATATTATGATTGAACTGGTTCTAAATACTGTATGCTTTATCAGGTATACTAAAAATTAAAATTATGACAGTTTTATTAAAATAATTAAAATATTTCCTTAGTTTTAGAGAGCGGTTCACATACAACCGCTTTGGACAGTTCAATTGTGAGAGTAGTTCACCAAATAACCGCTCTCAACTACACTAAAGAGAGCGGTTAACTGCTCTCTTTGGTCCACCTTCTGAAAGTGGTTTGCTCATAACTGCTCTCCAAAGTGCTATATGTATAGAGAGTGGTTAAGTGGTTAACCACTCTTTTTAGTGCACTTCTGAGAGCGGTTACGCGCATAACCTCTCTCCAAAATTAAATTAGAGAGCAGTTAAATAACCATTCTCCAAAATTCAAGACATTGCATAGCGTGAGATTTTATAACACTTATAACCACTCTCTATGTTCAATCGGAACCACTTTAACATCTCATTTCTGGCGTAGTGTATTGTCAAACTAACTATACAAGCAAATAATTTTTAGATCAAACTAACCTTGCTACTTTTGGTGCAACAAGACCAATTCTCCGGAAGTGTCTTCGATGATCCTAATCTTCACATTTCTAATTTTTTGCAATTATGCGACACTTTTTGTATCAATGGTGTAGCTGAAAATGCCATTTGCTTGAGATTATTTCTCTCCTCTCCAGGGGACAAGGCTAAGTGTTGGTTTCAAGTTCAACCGCAAGGAAGCATCATTACTTGAACTAACTTAATGAAATTTTTTTTAACTAAGTACTTCACACAATCAAATTCTATCAAGTTGCAAAGTGAAATCACTTCTTTTGTTCAGCAAAATGGTGAATCTCTCTATGATGTGTAGAAAAAAATATAAGGATTTGTTGAGAATATACCCTCATCATTGCATTTCAAAGTGGATGCAAATCCAAACTTTCTACAATACGATGAATGTTGCCACAAAAACTAATAATCTGGGGTAACAAAAAATTGAAATGTAACCGCACCCTCTTAGTTAACAAAAGTTACAGAAATTAAAACATTTTAATAACTAATTCCCAAGTAAAGCAAAACTTAACAGTCGTATACTCTGAAGTTACTTTGCTCCAAATTCCTATGTTTCAAGCTATTGATTCACCATGGTGCATCTATAAGAATCTAATGGTGCAATTATAACACTCCCCATGATCCATGTACGCCAACTAAGGCTCATTTTATTGGTTTTGTTCAGTTATTTTTTCTATCCATTCCCATAACTTTTCTTGACTCAAGGACAAGCATGACCTGAGACTGAGTGACCTTTTCCTTTGGCCACCAAGATTGACTTGCTGTTTGCAAAAACATAATGGGCACTGGCAACCAGATTTTCATCTCCTATGGATAAGGTGTGTTATAATTTGTACTTTTAATTGCTAGCATTTTTCTGTCCTACAATGTATACAAAACTGTACTACACAACGTTCACTCGGTCTGTGTGTGGATATGGAAATTATGAGCTGTCCTTCACTGGATTACATGACCCTTACCCATGAAGCTTATAAAAGAGGCTTCCCATTGCATTCAGACCCTGCTTTTCTTAAGAACTGACCTATCCTAAGCGTCTAAAATTTGTATGTGTACGTCAAAAACTGCATCAACATGTCGATTGCATGTTCACATTGTAATTCATAATTCGATTAAGGAGGTAAAATATTTTTACAAATCGATTCTCAAATCTCTTTACTAACATTTTTTGTAATGAACGAATGTCTAGAGACAAAAAGAAATTGCCTCATCTTAAGGTCAGACAATCTACAAGCCTTAATAATAATTTATCGTAGTGCTTATAAATCATTACAAATAAAAGATCATTAATAAAAATTAAATTTTTGACTTTTTCGTTGGTTTGTTTCTATAGTAATTGTGCCAATCTTCCATACCTTCTTTATTAACTTATTATACTACGGTGATTTAGATACTTGTAGTGTTGACGCGTATAAGTGTGTACGTCTGCAAGATAAACTAGGCACTCAAATTTCAAATGATTTTAGTTTACTTTGTGGCTTCACTGAGACACGCGTACAGAAATTAATTTACAAAGTCGCATGAAGGATAGGGAAGTAGTGGGTTTTCACTGGTTTATTAATGAATTGAGTTCGTGATGTCATACTTCGACACTTCCTTTGTAACCGAGGTTTGCATTATGTGTCTCTTATATATGTTTAGTACCTCCAAGTCAATTTGATCCTTATCCCATAACAAGGTATTTTAGAAATGAAGTTATGTTAGGTTAGAAATAACGAAATAGCAAATATGACTGCTACCTAACACCTCTTCTTCTCCATGGTAAAATAGGCCAAAATCATTCAGAGATGCCGTAAACCAGCAATTATGAAAAATAATGCTTAATGGAGATTCTGCCATTGCCACGTTGTTGCTGTACGGTAAAACCTTCTATATTAAAACCATAATATAAATTGGATAACATTAATTCCAAAATAAATAAATATATTTCTGGGGTGGTCCATATGATGTGCAGTCAATCACAGTGGCCACACCCGCAAATAAAGAATTATACTTTTCCTGCCTACTTAATTTAGTTGGAAGCATTTTACTAAGCCTCTAAATCTCTAGTATATTTAACTCATTCTTTGCGCAGGGAGCTTGGATTATATATATATATATCGGTGTTAGTGTAAGTATAAAAATTTTTAACTTTAATTTGAGTTTTTTATTTAATGTATATTTAAAAATAATAAAATAATAAATTATAACATATTAAATATAAATTAAATAAAAAATTATATTAAATATAAAAAAATTTAAATTTATACTAGTAAACAAGATTTTTCTTTTATATGTATATATATCTTTTACAACGAGGGTGATGAATTGGGAAATAACCTTGTTTATTGGAGTGTGACTGTACTATGAATATCAGTTGGTCAGTTTGACAAATCATGATTTACGAACTTTCTGAAATAAATAGTCCAACAACTTATGTTGTTGGGCATATATTTTGATGACAACTTGTGCTTTAAAGTGGGAATAGAAATTATACGTAAATGTTATCTACGGGGATGCAACTTGTTCCGGAAACCATTTTAGGGACCAAAATAATGTTATCATATACTGTTACTCTGATATGTAAGATATTATAAAGTAATTCAAGTGGAACTTTAATAATTATTTTTATTTACTGTGCACTAGCAAAAAACGTAGGCCTTACTGTTCACCATCCATGTACTTATTTCTGATTGAGAAAACTTTTGTATTGAAGAGACTAATAATAAATACTAAAAACTGCTTTTTTAAAAAAGTAAATTAAACATGCTATTAATTGATTAGAATAAAAAATCGGATGAGCCAAAACTTTCTAATTTTAGGAAAAATAAAAGGTGATTGCACCCTTCTATGTCTTGTTGTCTATAGTATACTGTATCCTCCACTAGCTAAGTTTCAATGTGAATGATCTTTCTTTCTTGACATTTTTTTTTATAGTTTTACTAAAGAAACAAATTGAATATTGATTTCATGAGTACCACCTCATATGACATTTTATGATATTTTATGAGATTGAAAAAAGTTATACATAAAAGTCTAACATATAATTTTTTTATTTGATTTAATCTAAATCAGTCGCACACTTGAATATAGTGGATGAGTCTACTGTTAAAAAAATTTTATGCATATAAAATTCAAACCCAAAATCTTATTTAAATGATACCGAACCACCTGCCACTTGAACCAACTTCCATTCGTTAAAATATAATCTTTATGTATATACATCACAAAAATGATATAAGAATAACCACACTTCGGCTATGGTTATAAATAATAAATAAGAGTTATTTGTTAAAAATATTTGTGCATCTTTATAACATGACATGATATTTATGATTCGTTTGTCTATATTTCTTTTTATAAAAATATAATTAAAAATAAATTTTTAGGTTTGTATATAAAGCATAGATATTTTTTAATTATTATAAATATAAATTCATGTAATTCTAATCTTTCTAAGTTTATTAGTTCATTTCAATTCTTGTAAATTTTAAAATTTTAAAAAATGTCTTCTTATCAGTTATATGTGCCGAGTTGGATATACGATGTGAGTTGAATTCAAATTTAGATACATAACGTATTGATGTAAGTGTACAGTAATATTAAAAAAATGAAAGCAAATGAATTTATATAAAATAATTATATACATCTTAATCGTTATAATGTTGATGTAGTTTTAACATTTTGAAAAAGAAAAAGAAAATGTGCATGAGAGGTTATGAGGCAACTTATTGGTTTGTAGCCTACAATGGACTGAGTTAACAAATTTTCAACTCACAAACAAATTTTCAATCCGAACGAGGTGGATTCATTTGAATTAACATCATAAGTTAAGTGATATTATGTCATATTAAAAATCAAAACATATATATGAAATTATTTCATCAACGATCGCTGATATAGTATACTTATTTGTATGTCACGTCCCTGCTTAATAGCGACAATTTATTTTTAAATTTTTTTAAAATTATAAAGATTAAAATAAACAAAAATTAATTTGACTTCTAATTGTAACTAAATAAAAAAATAACTTCTAAATTTTTAAAAATAATCATTTTTTAATTTAGAAATTATTTTTAATAACTTTTTTAAATGTTGTTCTTTGATTAATTCCATTTATTTAATGATTTAATCTATTGTTACTCATTATATTTTTATTTTTATCATTTTTCCTTGTGCCAAATAAAATCTAAATTAATCCTTATTCGCAAAATCTATAACTTCTTCGTGATAATAATTTCTCGCATAGTATATATGTTTGCTTGTTTAAGTGTGCACATGTAAGTTGATTCAACTTACGTCAATTATTTCAGCCGATCATTAATTAGGCAAAAATAAATGAAAAAAAAACATGTGTAACACCTTAAATTTAATTTTAAATATCTAATTTTAAAAAATGAAAGAAAATAAAATTTCATTCGAAAACAGTTTTTTCTATACATAGTTCGTTAAAATATTCAAAATAAGGAAGAATTACAACTTGCATCAAATCATTGCTATAAGATTAATTCAATTACATGAGCGTTTAAACAAATTTATAATTATATAGGAGTTTCATTCATCCCTTCACTGAACTTGATGCTAATCATCTTGGTCACCTGAAAAATATATGTAAGGATGAATATTCTACACTATCTAACACATACATAACATAGAGACTCATCTTGCACATCCACATGTATTCTAATATATTCTACTTAAGTCTAGCTATTAACAAGCAACATTTTCAAGTATTTCATTTTAGTTCATAACCGATGCACTCACAGCCTCAAAACATTTCACATACACCGATGCACTCACATCCACATGTATTCTAATATATTCTACTTAAGTCTAGCTATTAACAAGCAACATTTTCAAGTATTTCATTTTAGTTCATAACCGATGCACTCACAGCCTCAAAACATTTCACATACACACGTGTACTCACTGCATGTAGCCACGCTCAATGTGGCACTGTGATCACAGTTTCACACCATGGATGGTCGCCGGTTACTCTAACCTCACGGATACCACGTGAACGGTCACGAGTCGCTTGACAAAAGTAGTGGTCAAAGGTCTAGTCAAGAGGAGAGTGTATGGACTGTGGTGCACCCATGCTTACTGTTGGTGTCACTATCACTCTCTCTTCCCCAAGGTATTTCTATTGTCTTCATCTTTCACACCTCCAGTGTATCGCTGAACCATTCATAGCATCATTGCAACGGCATTCAACATGCCCCACTCACACGCATTTCCATTACATACAACATTTATTCATAGTACACAACATTCACATTATACGGCACATAAGCCCACATTTATTTACAACACTTGACACATATGCCCTTATTCCATTACACATCGTTTTCAACAAAATTTATATTT